ACTTTGCTCAGCCATAAGGCACCATCTTTATGTTCAAATATGCGAGAGTCTCCTCCTCCTGACAAGAATACGGAGACCTGTCCTTTATAATATTGCTCCTGACTCTAGAATGAGGGAGTGGAGTTTGGTTTCGTCCAGTGATTTCAAATGGGATGCCCTGGGTCTTGTTCTTGCCATTGTTTCTTTCCTTTGAGTTTCACAAGACTTGGTAATCTTGCAGTTGCAGTTTTCAAGAAATTTAGCAAATTTCAATGCTCCTGTTTTTGTTGTTTGGAAACCTATCTTGCTAGTAGGAGTTAATGAAGGGAAACAGATTGATTTCAGTCTTTGATTTTAACTTGCTTCAGGGAATGGAAACTGAGCAGGCTTATACGGGAGGAGATCGAAAGGTCATTGACAGCTGCTGGTCTCCAGCGTGTCCCGGACAAAATTTCTATTAGGTCCTCTGCCCTGGAATAATATGGCATGTCACCGGGCTTCTCTTGCTGCTACTTTTCAGCTGACCAGAGTAGACTTCTAGGAGTGTCATTTTTTTTTTTTAAGATATTTTTTATTTATTTGACAGGTAGAGATCACAAGTAGACAGAGAGGCAGGCAGAGAGAGAGGAGGAAGCAGGCTCCCCGCCGAGCAGAGAGCCCGATGTGGGGCTCGATCCCAGGACCCTGGGATCATGATCTGAGCCGAAGGCAGAGGCTTTAACCCACTGAGCCACCCAGGCGCCCCTAGGAGTGTCATTTTTGTAGAGAGACAGAAAATTGTATTTGCTTTACTAAAAATGTTTTCAGTTCCTTGTCTCCCCAACGGTGGACTAATGATCTCAAGATCTGCTGGGATTCTGTATTTGTGATCCAAGGAGAGGATGTAAACAGACAGTGTTGACACACCCACAGTTGCTCATCAGTAGTTTGTAGCCTTAGTCTTGGCCACTTGCAACTGTGTGTCTCCTTCTCTCCTTTCCCTCTTGTCTGAACACAGCGGACATGCTCATGAGGTAGCATCACCTGTTTGCTGTTTACAATAGAAAGCAAATTCTTATTTGGGTCCCATTTGTGTTTAGTAACAACCAACATCAGTGCAACTGCAGAAGATTTTATATTTGGCAGGCTGTGGGAAGCACGTGGACTTCTCTCTCTTCTGCTCCCTACTCGGCTGTGGGATGCTTTTCTGGTCAAACAGAGTGATCTCCACCATTTGGGCATTCGTCACTTTCTGTGAATCACGGGTCCTTCTTCCCATCACGTTGTCTCTTGTGTGTATGCCCTTAGGGTTTCAGAAGTCTAACCCTCTCAGCCCCTTTCTACCAGTAAGGATCTACATTAAGTTTGTGTTCTTATCCGAAGTGTTCCCAGTAGCAGTGTACCCTTTATTTTCCCATTTAGCTGACATGGAGATCTTTCTATTTCATGTACTTTTCTGTTGTGAATCGTCTCTTCACTTGAGTGATAGAGTGATGGCTGTCTCTGGGGTTTTCATTCAATTGTACTTTGGATGCTTAAAGGTTTTATAAGATCAGAAAGTCTAGAACTTTTTGTTTGCTTGCTTTGAACTGAACATTATCCTCACTCGTGCCCCACAAGCTTGCTGGAACCTTGATCTTTATTGACTCTGCAATCCTGGAAAATAAGGAAAATAGGTAAAACCAAAAAGAATAATTGGAAAAAAGGTCCTGTGGAGCAAAGCTGTCACATGGCAGAGTGATTCAGGAGTTGCAGGGAACATTATTGATTGTGAATCCTTTGTGAGTTTTTTAAAAAGCTTTCTTTTTTCTTTCTTTCTTTCTCTCTCTCTCTCTCTTTTTTGGTCTGAAGCACTATTTAGTTAAAGATATATATATATTTAAAGAATAATCATTTTATTTATTTGACAGAGAGAGAGATCACAAGTAGGCAGAGAGGCAGGCAGAGAGAGAGGGGGAAGCAGGCTCCCCGCTGAGCAGAGAGCCCGATGCGGGTCTCGATCCCAGGACCCTGAGATCATGACCCGAGCCGAAGGCAGAGGCTTAACCCATTGAGCCCCCAGGTGTCCCAGTTAAAGATATTTTAAATACGATGATAGTAACAATATTTTATGATGGACTGTTTCAAAAAAAATTAATTTTTATAGAAAATGTACTTTTAATTTTATAAGTAAAAATTACTTTCTTAGATTAAAAAAAAAAACAAAAACAAAAAACCCCTGTGCTTTCACATTAGATACACTAGAGGTAATAGAAAACATATATATTGGCTTCTGTCCCCAGTTCCTGGTGCAGAACTCCTGAAACACTTGTAAATTTCCTAAGCAACAGGAATAGTAGGAGCATTTTTTGTTCTAATGTTTGGTCATTCACCTGGGTCCTGACACAGAGTTCCTAAATCCCTTGGAATATCCTGGTGGATGGCAGCATATTTTGTTCTAATGAGATGACTTTTAGTGGGTGCCTTGATGAGGCCTGTTCACCAGAAGACCAAGCCATGGTTAGAAGCTTTGAATTTTCAGTCCTGTCCCCTATTCTCCAGATAGGAGTGAGGCTGGGGATGGACTTAATAATTGATCGTGTCTACGTGATGAGGCCTCCATAAAATACTCCCAATAGTATGGGGTTCAGAGAACTTCAAGTTGATGAATGAACACATGGCAGTCCTAAGAGAGGGGTGTACCTAGAGAGGTCAGGGATGCTCTGCACCCCTTCTCACATCCCTGCCCTATGCACCTCTTCCATCCGTTTGTTCGTCTGTCTCCTTTGTCATGTCATTTTATAAAAAACTGGTCAATAGTGAGTCAGCTGTTGTGATGAGTTCTGGGAGCCTCTATAGCAAACTAATAATGGCCATCAGGAGTAATAATAAGTATTGTGTGTATTTTCTCACCTAAGTCCTGTAATAGTTGGCTTTGTTGGGAGCGTATCGTTCTTCCTTGAAACTTGGCTTCTGTATTCAGGACAAGTATTTCCAAATTAATTAGTGCCACGTTCATACTTGTTAGTTCTAATCCTTTGCTTAAACTGAGATTTCCCTATTTAAAAATCATTACTCTCTGTTGCTGGGAGGAAATGTGTTTGAATTTCACAAGTAAATAGGTACTGTATATTTGTCACACATACGAGTGCTAATTAGCCAGAAACCTCTGGGTGGGAAAGGACATGTCCCTCACTCCACATTGTGGCCTTTGATAGCTCAGACAATGAAAAATAAATATTTATCTAAAGAATAAACTAGAATCTAGTCTCTTATTTTCCCAACAGCTTCCATTGCCTTAACCCACAAATTATTTCCTCTAATAACGTAATTAATAAATGTGCTCATTATTCTTTCCTACGTGTAGTTTCTTCAGAAGATTGAAACCTCTATATATTGGTTTAAAAATGGGTCACAGTGCCTTTTCTCCCCTTCAGCTTTTCAGTATGAACTTTTCCATACTGAAAAGTTGAAAGAATTCTATAGCAAATACCTGTATACCCACCACCTAGATTCTATAGTTAACATTTTAATATAATTTGCTTTATCAAATATCTGTCTGTCTGTCTATCCTCTTATTGGTATATTTTACCTAGACATTTTGGGAAGTTGTGGGTGTCCATGCACGTCACCCCCACAACTTCGGAATTCACCTGTAGTGTTTATCAGTAGAATGTTTTTAGAGTGCGGCTATTTGAAATTATATGTGATCATTTAGGAATGGGTAATTGTTAGAAAATGAAATTCTATCATCTTATCTTATTTTCCATGCTTCCAAGGGAAGAAAGCCGCTTAGTTCTGTATAATTCTTTGTAGTTTATGAAGAATTCTCATGTCTGTTATTGGATTTGGACAGATAATATTGCTGATAGTAACAGTAGCCAACAGGCCCTGTGCCAGGTACCACGCCAACCATTAGCCTTTAACAAAGATGCTAAATTCTGTTCCTCCCACTGATATTGGGTATTTATTTTCAAGTGGAGTGATTTATTCATTTAAAAATATTTTCTAGCCCTGTGGCATGCCTTTTGAATTCACATTTGTCAGCTGCTGCTACGTTTAGACTGAACTCTTTGGGGTTTGGGTTCCAGAGGACAAAAACAGTTTTTTGGGTGTTGTGTCTTTATAGGTTGTTATCCATAATAATACTTGAGCACAACTTAGGAAGAGTTGCTGAAAACATTCCTGTATTTTTTATTATCTTTTATAAATTAGCCTTTAATATCCAAAATGTTGAGTGACTTTAAAGGCAAAATGGGTCATATGTGAATAGGCATCTCATGGTTGTTTGGGGGGATTATTAATTAATTTTTAATATCCTATGAATAACTATAACTGCTGTTTTTCATATTTATTTTGTGCCAGATACTATGATTTATAACCATGGTATATTTAATTCATGTAACCAGCCTCTAAGGGCTGAAGACCCTGAGCCACGAAGGGATTAAGTGGCTTGTCCTGGGTCATGTGGCTAGCAAATGCAAGGGTCAGGATGTGAGTATTTCAGCTCTGAGTCCCAGCATTTGACAACTGCCCTAGTGTTCTGCATTTTACGTATGGTCCTCAGACCACCTGCATCATAATTTCCTGGGGCGACTGTTACAAATGCAGACTCCTGAGCCTCACCCTAGACCTGCCGAGTTTGAACCTATGGAAGAAGTATGTTTTTTAGTCATTCAGTTGGTTTGTTTTATTAGGGATTTATTTTACTTACTATTTTAGAGAGAGAGCACACAGGACAAGGGGCAGAGAGAGAGGAAATCTCAAGCAGACCCTGTGCTGAGCGCAGAGCCCATTGCAGGGCTCGATCCCAGGACCCTGAGATCATGACCTAAGCCAAAATCAAGAGTCGGATGCTTAACCAACTGAGCCACTCAGGCGCCCCATTCAGTTGATTTTTATGTGCTCTGAAGTTTGAGGACCACTGTGCTTTGCTCTTGTATAAACATTATCATGTTTTAATCTCTATTAACTGAGAAAGATAGCCAGAATCAATCAGTCATTCTTGTCCTTGGAATATTGATGTTTTGGATTCATCTTTATGCTTTTGTCTTTCCTTCAAGATTGTCATGGATTTTAAGCACCCAGATGGTGTCACAGTGCCAGTCCTGTTACCTCGTCGGAGTTTGCTGGTGATGACCGGGGAATCTAGATACCTCTGGACACATGGGTACGTATGGAAATGACTTTGGTGACAGAATGCCTCTTGCTTCGTGAGAATTCTCATTCTTTCCTGCTTGAGCTACCAGAATCGTGCCCCATGTCTGCACATTGAGGTGTCCAGGTTTCAACCTCCATGGACCTCTGTGCCCTTTTTATGGTAAATAATAACCTTTTATTTTGGTGAGATTTAGGTTTAATGGAAAGTTGCAAGCAGAGATAATGAACTCCCTTCACCTTTCATCTAGATTTACCAGTTGTTGCCAGTTGTGAACATTTGACCATGTGTTTTATTGCTCTCATATGTTACCGTTATTATTATCATTGATGAATCATTTGAGAGTAAACGGCAGACATCCTGCTCCTTTCCTCTTACGTCCCTCATTGCATATTTCCTGAGAGCAAGGATATTAGTTGTATCAGGGGTTGGCAAACTATGGCTCATTGGCCAAATTCAGCCCTAGTCTCCTTTGTGCAGCTCATGAGTCAAGAATGGTTTTTACATTTTTATTTGTATTTAAAAAAATTTATTTATGATTATTAATTATGATTGTTATTTTGGGTTTTACATTTTTTAAGAGTTGTAAAAAACAAACAGTGAAGAATATTTGACAGGAACTGAATGTGGCCCTTTTTGCCTTAGATATTTACTATTTGGCCCCGTTACAGAAAAAGTTTGCCGACCCCTATGATACAAAACTGCTGTGCAACTCGAATTCAGAAACACCAGCACTGATAAAATATTCTTATACAACCCGTCATTAACTTCTGCTAGTTGTACTTCATAGTACAGTACTGTCGAACTGCTGGCAGTTACAGGAGCCAGACCCGATATACTCAGGGGCTATCGCGGTCGGAGAAAAGGGAGGGCAGTGGAGAACTGGGCTGGATCCCAACTACAACAGGCAAGGTCAGGATAGACAGCCCAGGAGCTGGGAGTGGGCGTGGGGCAGGGCAGTGCCTGGAAAAATCCCAGTGGAAGCATCAGCAGGGGTGTGGGGGGAGGGGTGGGGTCTGGCCAAGGACCATAGGATTCTTGCTCATCACGTCTCGGCTGGGGGATCGCTGGGCAGTGAGGAATTTGGTGGGTACGGTGGGGGGGATTCTGGTTAAACCGACTCAGCAGGATTCTTGCTGAAGTGGGGTTCTTGGCGGACATGCCCAAGGGTGGGGCCGAGCTGGGCTCAGGGGAGTCCGACCGCAGTGTGGTCAAGCAGAGAATCTTGGTCAGTGGTTTGTGGCGCGCTCTCCCTCTGCTCCCGGACTCTGCCGTGTGATTGGCTGTCCGTTCTCTTCAGTCGTCTTTACTTGGAAACAATTCCGCAACTTCTCTTCGTCTTTCTGGTCATTGGCATTTTTAAGGGGGCCGGTTGTTTTGTAGAATGGCCCTCAATTTGAGTTTGTTTGATTGACTCTAATCTCAAAGAAATGGGTTATGCACATTCGGCAAGAATATAGCTTTAGCCTTTGGAGGAGAAGCATCGCACCACTGAAATTTACGTGTATTCTGCTTAAAATACTGCTGAGTTCTGTGCTTATTAATAATGTCCTGCGTGGAGATTTTAACTGATGCATTTAAGAAATCAAGGAAACAAACATGTAAATGATTCTGTATCATGTCTTGAAGGTGAGCCATAAAAACAATGGCCTGATTTTGTGCAATGAGGCTTAAATTTACCTGACTTATTTTTTCATGGCCATCTAAATATTTTCACTTGCAGTAAATGAAAATGGTGAGGCGATCCAGTGGTTTCAAGTATTTCTAGAATTGAGAATATTCACGTTTTCTTTTTTTAAGTTTAAACATTTTTACTATCGGTACATTTAAACTTAAGAGTAATGGTATTTCAGCAAGTACGAAATGAAAAATTACTTTTCATAGATTTTTTTATAAACATATTTTAAATTCTGGATAATGGTACAGATTAATTCTCCTAAACATCATTTCAATCGCATTCTTCTCTCTCTTTCTTAAAAGTTTTTATTTTTATTTATTTGGGAGAGAGAACAAGTGAGCATTGAGGAGGTGGGGGGGGCTACAGAGGGAGAGGGAGAAGCATTCTCCCCTCTGAGCAGGGAGCCCAGTGTGAGGCTCGATCCCAGGACCCCAGGATCATGACCTGAGCCAAAGGAAGGCAGATGGTTAAATCCCCCAATCACATTATTTTCTTGTTGAGAGAATATTGTGTGGGGACGCCTGGGTGACTCATTTGGTTAAGTGTCTGCCTTCAGCTCAGGTCATCATCTTGGGGGCCCGGGATTGAGCCCCACGTAGGCTCCTGCCTCACCAGGGAGTGTGCTTCTCCCTCTGCCTGCCCTTTCCCCTCGTTGCATGTGTGCGTGGGAGCACTCTCTCTCGCTCTCTCAAATAAATAAAATCTTAAAAAGAAAAAGAATATCGTGTGGTTAAATGTTAAGAGTATCTCTGTAAGATTGAATTGTAGGCAACATTTATTTTTAAACCTTTCTCTAGAATCAAAATTCTTTACAATAATTTCAGGGAACAAAACCCCTCAGTATTATTTTTTTAAAGGCTCCCATCGAAACCCATTGCCTGTATTACGTGTGTGTGTGTGTGTGTGTGTGTGTGTGTGTGTGGTGAAGAGGAGAAAGGGTAGGGTTAGGGTAAGGAGGGAGGGGCTACAGTTAGAGATAGAAACAGAGGCTGACCAAATAATGGAGTTATTCATCAGAATCTCTGGGTGGACAGAAGAATAAGTTGAAAAAGCACATTTAATACACTTAAAAATATGCATAAACCATAGGACATACACCTTGATTTAAAAAAAAAAAACTGGGACGCCTGGGTGGCTCAGTTGGTTAAGCAGCTGCCTTCGGCTCAGGTCATGATCCCAGCGTCCTGGGATCGAGTCCCACATCGGGCTCCTTGCTCATCGGGGAGCCTGCTTCTCCCTCTGCCTCTGCCTGCCATTCTGTCTGCCTGTGCTTGCTCTCTCTCCCTCTCTCTCTCTCTGACAAATAAATAAATTAAAAAAAAAAATTAAAAAAAAAACTACTTTGATCTGTGTGCTGGAAGCAAATACTAGAAAGCACTACTGAGGGACAGGAATTGAAGAAGGTTGATTTGGGGTTCCTGCTGGCTCAGTCAGTGGAACGTGTGACTCTCAATCTTGGGGTTGTGAGTTCGAGCCCCGCATCAAGGGTAAAGAAAAAAAGGTTGATAAACTCTGCCCTGAAAGGTTAATTCCAGACTCTTACTTCGATCCAGTTCGGATTTACTCTTCTAGCCGCCATGCCTTAAATCAGAATGGGCAGCCTGGAAGGCCCTGAGGCAAATACAGTGGGCAGCCATGTTCTCTTTGGCTGGGCCAGTGGTGGTCCCCGGGGCAGCATTTTTATTGCATTTAATTGCCTGCATGTGCAGATCAGTAGCTTTCACCTGAAACTCTGAGTCTTCAGCTTCTTTTGGAAATTGGGCAGTCTGACAACGTTGGGCGCTTGGATGCCTTGGCCCTGCCACTAGGGACCGTCTGTGGCCTTCTGTAGACGAGAACTGCGTTCTTAGGCTCCCCCCACTGTGCTCTGTGCTGCCCCTCGCTAAGCCTGAGCATCAGCTGGCCTGTGTCACTGTTCCCCCGCTGTTGTGTTTGTGTTGGGACAGAGCTGCTTGAAAATGAAGTAAATTTTGTCTGTGTTGGAAGTAGGGAACGGGAAGCTAGAGTGAGTGGGAAAGTGTGTTAAGAAAAGTGGAAGAAAACACTTTGTTGTTTTGAAATGAAACCCATTTGTATGTGTTTAACAGCAAACTGTGTTTCTAGGCAAACCCGCGCACCCCCTCCTTGAGGTTATTCGGCCGGCTTCGCAGGCATTTATCTCTACGTTTATGTGACTCTCCTTTTAAATTACTTTTGGAGCATTTTTTTTCTGCTGGGCCTTGTTCTCAAAGTTTCACACAGTTAGCTCGCTTACCTCATACAAGTCACAGTGGAGAGTTTGTTCTGTGGCTTTGTCCCCATTTTTAAAGGAAATTGGAGCATAAAGAGGTTATGTAACTTGCACAAAGTCACAAACCTTTAAGTGGCAGAGCCAAGAAGAGAAGCCAGGCAGTCTGGCCTCAGAAGCTGTCCTTAACCTTGTCATTCTGGCCGGACTTGATCGCTCCTTCTTCTCCAGATGTGTGCTGTGCCCTCTGGCCTTTACTCCTGTGCCAGCACTCAGTGCAATAAATTTCCTTTTCCTTTGTTTTTAACACAGAGCTCAGCTCTTCCTTTTGATATGTAAAACTTTTTCTGGGGACATTAACCTGAAATAATTTCTCCCTTAAACTCCTAAAGATTGTATTGCTTCTACCACTTTGAGATGTCTCTTCTAATGAACTCTTATTTAAGTCTAAAAAAGGTTTTTATCTTTTTATTTAATATTTTTTCAACTGGATTATAAATTTGAGTAGGGAGGAAAAAAAAGATGTTCAGCAATGTTTAAAGAATTCATGTTGAGGATTAATCTTAACGTGGATTACCTACTCCTAAAAATCTGAGATTGGTTCCAAAAGCAGTTAAGTACTGCATGGCCTTTGTCTAAGATGCAATTCTAGGCAAGTAAAGTAATTGACTTAAAAAGCTGTGATAGAGAACTACTTGGCCCTCAAGAGGGAAATTTACTTGCTAATAAGAGTTTCAGGATACACGTTGTTCTGAGCTATCTTGACTTTGTTTAGTACCATAGTTGTACTTATTTTCCTCTATCAGGGTAACAATCATATAAATTCAGGTGACGTTTGCCTGCTTTTACTTCTAAAAAAATTGCTTTTGGTGCAAGCTCTTTTAAAAGAGCCACTCTCCTTATGTGTTTTATAAGACCAGCATTACCCTGACACCAAAACATGTCAAGGACATTACAATAACAGAAAATTACAGACCAGTATCTCTCATAACAGGTAAAAAAAAAAAAATCCTAAACAGAATAGGAGAAAATCCAATTGTACGATATATAGAAAAGAAAGTACATCATGACCAAGTAGAGTTTATTCCAGGACGGCAAAATTGGCTT